TTCGCCATTTGCACATCACTGATTCGGGAATACAGCTATAGAATTTCTAAAGGAAATTGAAAATGTTTAGAATCGTTTTATTGAAATTAATGTTAAAAATAACCAAATAGATCTTTCTGTTTAGTTTTTTACTAACAAATATCAAACGATTCCCTATAATATACACTATAATTTAATCATTATGATATCAAATAATTACATAATATATATTTGAAATGATGCAAATTGAACTAATTGAGTTGGTCGAGGTTCATTGAATAACTTTAAAATACATTATATTTTAGCCACTAAGATATAAAATAATAGCATAATATATATTATGCTAGAGAAAATAGCTTGTTTTAGAATGGCAAACCCATGATGTTTATTTGTATTACTTGATTGGCAAATCCCGTGTAGGTCAGACCTATTCAACTCTTTTATTTATGATTAGCGGTTAGCCCATTAGAATCCATGCATTAGTTTATTGTTAATTTTTTTTTTCTTTTTAGCAATAAAAAGGAGTATTGTTTTTGCCTTTTCATATATATTTTACCACCACGGAGAAATAAAAGGACTTAAAGAACAAAATTGACACTCCCGAACCCGTTTAAATCCGCTTGTGTACGGTAAGTTGGCCTGTTCCACAGAGAAAAAAGGAAAAAATTGACACTCCATATTCTACCCTTCCTGCAAACGCTCCTGGAGCAGGGAATTTGAAATAGGGGAAGGGTTTTTTCCTCACTACGATTATATATTTTCAATTTAAAAAGATACAACAAACGTACTTAGTGTGATTGGTTATGATCTTTGCTTTTCTTTGAAAGTGGCCATGGTTCGAATCCTAGTAAGTGTGTTTTTAATGAATAAAAAAAATTAATTGTGAAGACCAAAATGCCCTTCCTACTTTCACTCTGGATGCAGGAAATTTGAAATGGGGCTTCAAGTTTTCTCATTTGGCTTTTATTTATTGTGTAGATGTAGATAGACTGATCTTTCACTATTCCTTTCGTCCGACACTCACTCGGACTCGTCTCTTTCATCCCCCTCGTTTTCTTTCTTCGCCTAATAAGGCTTCCCTCCTTTTCTTCCCACAAGAGGAGCCATCGGTTTGGTTTAATTTGGTTTTGTGGCCATTTTGTGTAGCAAATCGCTGTCTTTGTTTATAAAAAGAAATCCCCACATGCTTGTTTGTTTATCGGTCGTGTGTTATCACTTTGGGATGGTTTTTTTTCTTCTTCTACTAATACCACCTGAACACTTCAACTATACAAAAAAAAGTCACTTCTATCACAAAGCATTGAATATAGCAATTGTGGGACGAACTTTCTTCTTCGTAAATTGATTCTATAAGAATCAATAAAGATTACTTGTTAGCATTGATGTGAATGAATAAAATGAAAAATATTGTCATTGCTTCTCGAAAGAAAGATTCGAGCCAAACGATGCTTCTCGATGCTCTCCATGGCGGGGTGTCCCGGTGAATGAAATAATCAAATTCCCATCAATCTATTGTTAGTGGAGCCTACCAGAAATCCTAGTTGTCCTGATAGATGAAGTCACTCTGATAGCATCCATCGCCAATAGATGCGTGGAGGAGGTAGTTGTGGTTGAAGAAGGGTGGGAGCCAAAAGAGGTTGGAGGAGGCGCCGAAGATGAAGATGAGCTGGAGGAGTGGGACGATCTAGAAGCGGAGAAGATGGAGAGGACAACCTAGGATCCAAGAGGTGTGCTCTTCTTGTCAAAGATCTTAACGAGGTAAAGTAGTGCGACGAGAAATTTGAGTTGGAAGAGGTCTGGGGAGAGGGAGACATGGAGCCTGCAGAGGCAGCTCTGCTACGAAATCGTTAGTGATTTGGAGGAGAAAGGGGAGAGAGCGTGGTGGCAGAAGGAGGATTGAAGCTCCGCATGTGCACTCACTTTTTTTTGGGTGCATTCAGTAAACTCAACTCTAAAAGTGGTAGTAGTACATCGAATTTTGAATTTTAATGGGTAGCATTAGTCTAATATGATGATATAATATAACATCACAACTAATCAATCCATTATCATAACCCCTTAACCTTCAATTTTGAATTCCTAAACCCTGAATCATTCAAATTAAAGTAAATCTTGGATGATTTTTGTACAAATTTATGTGTTTCTTGTTCATCAAACCACAAGTGATGAAAGATATCGTTTTCACATGAGCCGCCTTCTCGAAATGATGATTATGAAGCGAGTGCATTGAATGCACCCAAAAAAGTGGGTGCACCGAATACATTGGGTGAAGTTTGGGACATGTCACTATACTCTAAGTCTCTAACCCTTAAAAATTAAAATTTAAGTCTTGTTTCTATAAATCTTAAACACCAAATTCAATTCAGTAACAATAGTTGACGGTCATAATTCGTCGAAATACATCCAACAGATTATATGCATCATCTTAGTGTTTAGGGTCTATGATTTAGATAATTAAGACCTAGGGTTCACTCATCAAGGGTTAGGGTGTATAATATCATGCCCCAAAATCGTGTTAATTCGAGATCTAAATAACGTTTCTTATCAATGGTATGCGATACCCAATTTTTACCTAGTGAACGATGGAACCCATCATAAATATATGCGCATGTCAGAATAATAAATTATAGGGACTAAGTGGTCATTGACCCATAAATTAATAAGAACTGGGTTACTTAGTGTATTTTGTAATTTATAATTTATCATTAAAAGGGTGGGTTTGAAGCAAACCAATTTCTTGAAAGCATAAGCAAACCATTAAAAAAACAAAATCCCAAGCACAACTACACAGGACAACAACTGAGAGCTCACTTCTGTATGACCAACCTAAGTACCCCACTTGGGCTTTTGGCCTCTTTATCAATACTAATTAGCATCTACTTTTCTTTTTTTTATTTGTTAAACCCTCTTGAAAAAAAAATAGAGTTCGTCAGGCATGCATGTGAACATGGCCAGTCTCCCCAAAGTACTTACTTAATATGAAAATTAAGAATACATCTTAGAGATGACTGATTTGAACCAAAAACATTGGCTTTGAACTATAATTTCATTGGTGAAATACCTATATTGCCTCTATAATTTTCCTTTATAGTCTAAGTTTGCCTCGATTATTAGAAACATTTTTTCTAATTTGAAGTTCATCGCATCGCTTTACCTTTCAACGATGAAAAAGTTGATCACTCCACCCTACAACGATCCCTATTGATTGCTTTGTCTAACAGCGATCAAGTGTTCCACAATGGTTAATCACTTTCCTCTCGAGCAATATTTATGCAAATCGATGCAAAACATGTGTAGATTGAATAAATTTGATAATAACTATTGTATTTTGAGAATTTGTTGAAACAACTAATGTACTTTGAGGGGAAATCCGCAAGTTCATTGATTCCTTCTTCTCATTTTGATGTAGTAGTTGTTGTGATCTTCCATATTTTAAAACTTAAAAGAGAAGGAAAATAATAAAACTTACTATTTAGTATTTGTAACACTTTAGCCAAATTTTAAATCAACAAACCATGGAAAAGAACCATACTTCATAAGGAACAATCTAACATTAACTGACAAATACGCATTTTGGGATGAAATATATGAGTTCTTATAAGAACTTTAGGTTAAACATGATCCATGTGGAGCGGTGCAAAGATTGGTGACCTGTCAGGAAGTCACCATGATGTGGCCAAAAACAAAATCGTGCAGGATTAGGTCCAAAGCGGACAATATCTTGGCAAAAAAAAAAAAAAGAGTTTAAAAGTTATAAATGGCATCAAAGACTCTCTACGTCCTTCTTGAACAATGGCGAGACAAACCTCAATGACGACATTGAGTCTCGAGGGGGTGTAATGTAACGCCTTAGACAAATCCCACATCGACTAAACACGGGAAGAAATCCATGGTTCATAAGGAATCATTTCAACTTTAACCAACAAGGCAAGTTTTGGGATAAAATGGATGAGTTCTTATAATGATTATGAAGTTAAATATTCTCAACGTAGAGTAGTGCAGAGATGAGACTATTAGGAGTTAACAAACGACCCCGCCTATTTCTCCTCCACGACTCCTCTGTTGCAACTACTTTCCCATGAATTCTCACTCTCTGTTACACTCCCGTTGTATTGTATCTATAAAAGTGAACAGCTCACAATAATAATACTCAAGCATTCATTAATATTATATGGTATCAGAGCTCCCCAAAATCCTCCAACGAGGTTCTCTATTCTAGCTCTTATTCTTTCATCATTCTCCCTCTCTCAATCAACACCATGACTTCCGGCGTCTCTTCTGTTTCTTCTGGTGATTCCAATGATTCTCTTCCTCCTATAGTCTCTTTCAATGTTGGATCCCAGCTCACCGTTCGTCTCACTGGCACAAACTATTCCTCCTGGAAATCTCAGTTCACTTCTCTTCTCTTTGGCTATGATTTTTTGTCGCATATTGACGGTACGGGTGTTCCTCCTACTGATCGCACCTCAGCTGCTTACTCTCGATGGGCTCGCCAAGATCGCTTCATCTTCCATGCAATTCTTGTCTCTGTCAGCGAGTCTCTCATGCCCCATATTGATGCCGCCACCACTGCTCTAGCTGCTTGGACCACTCTCGAGCGTATGTTTGTTCCTCGCTCTCAGTCCCGGATTCTGTGTCTAAAAGACAAGCTCTCCACCTTCTCCCGTGGCAGCCTCTCTCTTCATGCTTATCTCTCCGAAATCAAGCTGCTCGCCGGGGAACTCGCACTTGCCGGTGCTCCTGTTGATGACCTTGATCTAGTTCTTCGGACCTTAAATGGTCTTGGGTCTGATTTCAAAGAAATTGCTGCTGCTGTCCGTGCTCGGGACACACCTCCCTCCTTTGAAGAATTGTTCGACAAACTCATCTCCTATGATGAGTTCCTTCAGCGCACGGCGGCTCAGCCCCAATCGCCGCTTGTCAACGCCACTACACGCCAAGGAAGACAACAGCAGCCTTCTCGGCCAGCTCCGCGCAACAACAGTTCGCGCTCTCTCTCCCTACCAAATGGTTCTGGACCTCTCCTTCCCGCTGGCCCTGGCTCCTCCGCTGCTCCAGCAATGCCCTCCAACAGGCCGGTATGCCAGTACTGTCAACGTGTCGGGCATACTGCTCGAACTTGCTTCAAGATTCACCCCGAACTTCGGGCCAATCTCATTCATCCTCAAGCTAATGTCACTACCAGCCATGGCGCCTCATCTTCAGCACCACCCTCATGGCTCCTCGATTCAGCGGCATCCCATCACGTCACTGACAACCTTGGTCATTTAGCTCTCTCGGAAAAGTATGACGGTCCAGACACCATTGCGATCGGCGATGGCTCAGGTTTGGCTATATCTCACACTGGTTCCCTTTCCCTATCTTCACCTACCCACACATTCTCCCTCACCAATGTTCTTTGTTCCCCTGCCATTTCCCAAAATTTAATCTCTGTTTCAAAATTTTGTGCTTCCAATCACGTGTCCGTTGAATTCTTTCCCTCTTCCTTTGTTGTTAAATCACAGCCCATGGGAACTCCGGTGCTTCGGGGACGCGCTAGAGATGGTGTGTATGAATTTCCAGCTCTTTCTCTCAATAAATTGCAGCCTCGTGTATTGGTTGGTGTCAAGACCTCTGGCGACGTTTGGCATTGTCGCCTTGGTCACCCTGCTCAACCGATTCTTCAACGATTGCTTGCTGATCATTCCCTTCCTTTTCTCTCTACGAAATTTTCTACTTGTCATGCTTGTCAATGTAGCAAAAGCCATCGTTTACCTTTCTTTGATTCAACTTTGCATAGTTCGCGACCGTTGGATATTGTTTACTCTGATGTATGGGGACCTGCCCCTGTATTGTCTATTGACGGCTTTCGTTATTATGTGATATTTGTGGATCATTTTACTCGTTACATTTGGTTCTATCCTCTCAAACGTAAATCCGACTTATTTGATGTTTTCCCTCGCTTCAAAGCTCTTGTGGAGAATCAATTTCAAACTTCCATAGTTACTCTCTTTTCCGATCGCGGGGGCGAATATGATAAATTGAACTCTTTTCTATCACAACATGGCATTTCCCACCTCACCACTCCTCCTCACACACCTCAACATAATGGTCTCTCCGAGCGTCGTCATCGTCACATTGTCGAGACGGGCCTCTCCCTTCTTCATGAAGCCTCAATTCCCGCCTCATACTGGACTTATGCCTTCCATACCGCCGTCTACCTCATCAACAAGCTCCCCACTCCCATTCTCTCTCATTCTTCCCCTCATTACAAGCTTCATCGCACCCATCCCAATTACAGCAAACTTCGTGTATTTGGCTGCCTTTGCTTCCCTTATCTCCGTCCCTATTCATCCCACAAGCTCGACTCCCGTTCCCTTCCATGTGTTCTCTTGGGCTATAGTTCCACTCAAAGTGCCTATTTGTGTCTCGAACCTAATTCGGGTCGTGTTTATGTTTCTCGTCACGTCACATTCGATGAGACACAATTTCCTTTCTCTCGTCTCACACCATCCCCTTTGTCCACGACTACATGGCTCGCCGCTCTCAACGTCGACCCGCCCACTTTTTCCATACCTATTTCCAATCCCCAACCTCCTCCGCCTAGCTCACCACCCACGGCAGCTCTCTTGTCTCCTCCTACTCCTCCCCTCCCTACTGTTCCCCACGACCCCCCATCACCACCTCCCACTCCCTCCCCACCACCAATCACTCCTCCCTCCCAACCCACCGCTCCTACTGCCCCACCTCCTCCCCGTAAAATTGTCACACGTTCCCAAAACAACATCTACCGTCCCAAACGCCTCTTTACCGCCACTCTCCATCCGCCCACTTCTCCCGTCGAACCCACCAGTGTGAGAGAGGCTCTTCTTGATCCTCTTTGGCGTCAAGCCATGTTGGAAGAGTTGGTTGCTCTCAATGCCAATCGTACATGGACCCTAACTTCCAAACCCGAGAGTGCTAATGTTGTTGGTTGCAGGTGGGTGTTTCGCATCAAACGCAATGCTGATGGCTCCATTGCTCGCTATAAAGCCCGGCTGGTTGCCAAAGGCTTCCATCAACGTCCTGGCTTGGACTTTCATGATACATACAGTCCCGTCGTGAAACCGGCCACCATCCGCGTCATCCTTGCCCTTGCTGTCGCCCGTGGATGGCCCATTCGGCAACTCGACATCAACAACGCTTTCCTCAACGGCACGCTGCAGGAGGAAGTCTATATGGCTCAACCACCGGGCCATGTCGATTCCACTAATCCCACTTTTGTTTGCAGGTTGCACAAATCTATTTACGGCCTCAAACAGGCTCCTCGCGCCTGGTATCATGCTCTACGCGACTTTCTTCTGCAGTCCGGCTTCACCCAGTCCAAGTCCGATGTCTCATTGTTCACATTTCGTCACCAATCCTCCATCATCTACCTCCTTGTCTATGTCGACGACATCGTCATCACTGGCTCTTCACAGACAGCTGTCTCCCGTTGTGTTCAGCTGCTTGCTGCTCGTTTTGCCCTCAAGGATCTTGGCGACCTCTATTATTTCCTGGGTCTTGAGTTCGTTCGTGGTCCTTCTGGGGCCTTCCTCAGCCAACGCAAATATACAGCTGATCTCCTGCACCGTGCCAACATGCTAGAAGCTAAATCCGTGACCACACCACTATCGTCCACCACGACTCTTCAGCTTAATGATGGCTCTCCGTCTGCCGATGGCTCCACCTATCGCAGCATCCTTGGTGGCCTTCAATATCTATCCTTCACGAGGCCTGACATTAGCTTCGCAGTGAATCGGCTGTCTCAATTTATGCATCGTCCCTCCGCCATGCATTGGAATGCTGTCAAACGTGTCTTGCGGTACCTTAAAGGCACTATCGACCACGGCCTCGTCCTGTCTGCCTCCTCCTCACTCCATCTCCAAGCTTTCTCGGACGCGGATTGGGCGGGGAATCCCGATGATCGCTCCTCACCACGGCATACATTGTCTACTTCGGCTCCACTCCTGTCAGTTGGGCTTCAAAGAAGCAAAAAACCATTGCTCGTAGCTCCACCGAAGCTGAGTACAAGGCTGTTGCTGCGGCTGCTGCAGAGCTGGCTTGGCATGGGTCTCTTCTCTCTGAGCTTGGCCTTACCCTACCCACAGCCCCGGTACTTCACTGTGACAACCTCGGTGCTACTTACCTTTGTTCGAATCCGGTGTTTCATTCTCGCATGAAACACGTTGCTATTGATTTCCATTTTGTTCGTGATCGAGTGGAGAAGGGACAGCTCATCGTCCATCATGTTCCATCTGCTTCTCAGTTGGCTGACCTGCTCACTAAACCGCTACCCAAGGCTCGGTTCCTTTCCTTGTGCTCCAAGATTGGTGTCTCTTCTGGTGACTCCATCTTGCGGGGGCGTATTAGGAGTTAACAAACGACCCCGCCTATTTCTCCTCCACGACTCCTCTGTTGCAACTACTTTCCCATGAATTCTCACTCTCTGTTACACTCCCGTTGTATTGTATCTATAAAAGTGAACAGCTCACAATAATAATACTCAAGCATTCATTAATATTATAGAGACACCTCCCGAAAAGTCACCATGATGTTCCCAAAAAGCAAAATTGTGCGGGTAGACTCAAAGTGGACAATATCTTAGTCAGAAAATGATTGAAATGTCAAAAGTGGTATCAGATACTCTTTATGTCCCTCTTGATTGATGATGGAGCAGACCCCAACAAAGACGTCGAGTCCAAAAAAGTATAATGTATCACCACAGGCAAATCTCACATCAACAAAACACGTGAGACCCAAAATACATTGAGGTGAATTAAAAAAAAATATTTTCATTTTGCTACCAAAGTCACTCCAAGTAATTGTGAAATGCAGGACAAATTGTCCCCAAAAAAAACTTCCCCCTTTCCTTTTCCCTTCCTTGCTCCACCTTATCCTCCAACTCCCTCCTTCGCCCCCGCACTTCTAAATTCCACCCACCACTTCCTCTTCCTTTCACAAATAACCACTTTAATTTTCATTTTCTTACTTCCAAAAAAAAAAAAAAAAATCCCCCACCCTCCTCCCTCCGCCACCGCCGTCGAATGACAGATTACCGCCTCCCCTCCGCCGCGACGATGAATCTCTGGACCGACGACAACGCCTCCGTCATGGAAGCCTTTATGAATTCCGATCTCTCCGCCCTCTGGCCGCCGCCTCCTCCGCCACCTCATCACTCCTCTTCCACCTCCACTTCCACCCCCGCCGATCCCATCAAATCTCACCACAACCACCCTCCCCCGCCGCCGACGCCCTCCCTTCCGCCGCCGCTCTTCAATCAGGAATCCCTCCAGCAGCGCCTCCAGGCGCTGATCGACGGGGCGAGGGAGAACTGGACCTACGCCATCTTCTGGCAATCGTCCTACGATTTCTCCGGCGCCTCCGTGTTGGGATGGGGCGACGGGTACTATAAGGGGGAAGACAATAAGGGGAAGGGGAAATTGAGGAAGAATACCAGCACGGCGGAGCAGGAGCACCGGAAGAAGGTCCTCCGGGAGCTCAATTCGTTGATCTCCGGCCCCAGCGGCGCCTCCGCCGACGACGCGGTGGACGAGGAAGTTACGGATACCGAGTGGTTCTTCTTGGTCTCCATGACCCAGTCGTTTGTGAACGGGGTCGGGTTGCCGGGTCAGGCTTTCTTCAACGGGTCACCCGCCTGGCTGGTCGGGCCGGACCGCATGGCCGCCGCTCCCTGCGAGCGGGCGAAGCAGGGGCAAGTGTTCGGCCTCCAGACCATCGTCTGCATCCCGTCGGCCAACGGCGTCGTCGAGCTCGGGTCGACGGACCCGATTTACCAGAGCTCGGATCTGATGAACAAGGTTAGGGTTTTGTTCAATTTCAGTGGTAGCGGCGGAATCGAAAGTTCCTGGGCTCCGCCGCCGCCGACCCCGTCGAATCACGACCAGGGGGAGAACGACCCGTCGTCGCTCTGGATCACAGACCCGGAAATGAAGGACGGCGGCGGAAACAATAGCAACAACAACAAGACCTCCTCCGCCGCGGCTGCCACGGTGGCTCCGTCGTCCAGCGGTGGAAACCCTAATCACCACCACCACAACAACAATTCTTACCCCAGCTCAAGCAGCTTGACGGAGAATCCTAGCGGAATCCATAACCAGAACCAGAACCAAACGCAGAGCTTCTTCACACGCGACTTGAACTTCGGCGAGTACACCGGAATTGGGGGAAACAACAGCAACCGGAATGGGAATTCGATTCTGAAGCCAGAATCCGGCGAGATTCTTAATTTCGGGGATAGCAAGAGAAGCTCATCAAGCGGGGGGAATGGAAATCTGTTCTCCGGCAGCCATAACCATAATCCACAGCTGGAAGAGAGCAACAAGAAGAAGAGATCCCCGACTTCCAGGGGGAGCAACGACGAAGGGATGCTCTCATTCACTTCCGGCGTAATCCTGCCTTCCTCCGGCACAGCCAAATCCACCGTCGCGGCAGACTCCGACCACTCCGATATTGAAGCATCCTTTGTCAGGGAAGTAGACTCCAGTCGAGTCGTGGAGCCTGAAAAAAAACCTAGAAAGCGAGGGAGGAAACCGGCCAATGGCAGAGAAGAGCCATTGAACCACGTCGAAGCAGAGAGACAAAGGCGTGAGAAGCTGAACCAGAGATTCTATGCTCTAAGAGCAGTAGTCCCCAATGTCTCTAAAATGGACAAAGCTTCCCTCTTGGGAGATGCCATTTCCTACATCAAGGAGCTCCGACTGAAGCTCCAGTCCACAGAATCTGAGAAGGACGAGCTCCAGAAGCAGGTCGAGTCGTTGAGGGACGAATCGTCATCTCATCCTCAGCAGCGGCCACCACCAGATAATCAAGATCTCAAGTCATCTAACTCGTCGAGCACTAACAGCTCGCAGATCGAGATGGAGATCGAGGTGAAGATAATTGGATGGGATGCTATGATAAGGATACAATGCAGCAAGAGGAACCATCCAGCAGCTAGACTAATGGCTGCTTTGAAAGAGCTGGATCTTGATGTCCACCATGCGAGTGTCTCGGTAGTAAATGAATTGATGATCCAGCAAGCGACGGTGAAGATGGGGAGCCGATTCTATACCCAGGAGCAGCTCAGGTTAGCTTTGTCTAACAAAGTTGGTGACTTTCGATAGTGGCAAGTAAGTTAAGCTGCAGCAAACCAGCTGGTTTGTTGTATGTTCATTGAGATTGCACCAGTTTTGGGGACAGTTTTATTAGGGCAGAAGAAGTGTAAACTAGTGTTGTCTTATTTTGGCATATTTTTGGTCCTAGTGTAATATTATTGAGTTTGAGAAGCAGATATAAGCTTAGGTTCTGATTGGCATGATTAGAGGTAGCAACTAGCAAGTATTATGAATGTATTAGGTGTTTGTTACTGCTGCTGCTTCCTCTTCTTCCTCACTGAAGTGAAGATGAGAAAGGGTAGGAAAGACTGTTTTTTGTTGCAACAAAAAAAAGCTCTGCCTCTGTAACTTTGTCAAAATATTGGGTCTTGATATGGTGTATATACAGTAATAATCAATCATATTGTTGTTGTGAAGCTGATGAATTTTTTGATACTTCTTATTCTCATTACTGTGTGGTAATGTATGGCATCTGTTTCTCTTTCCACAACCACTCTATTCTCACTAGTTTAATCCAGTTTGAGTCGTGCAAAGCTCGTACGAACGAACGATTAAGCTCTCAATATCAAAGTGTCACTGCACTTTGAAACTCTTCAATCTCAGTTGTGGTGCCGGTTGGTGCAAGACTACTGAATTGTTAGGGAAGCAATACTTGATGGCTGTGTGGCTCTCATCACCAGTTGAATCCAGTTCGGGCGAGCGAGATTGAGCTCGCTGCGAAAACTAACCTCTGATTAGCTCATGTTAGAGAGTAGCCTGACATTTGTGGTTTGTGGTTGATGAGACAAGGAATGACAGAAGGTTTGCAGAAAGGTTCTGGTGAAGCAAGACTTGCCTGATATGGGTTTCTGTGTGGGAAATCATGGTTGTTTGGGTTGAATGACTCGCCATTTTCAGCAGTGGGAGAGTGGAAACCAACATCACATGCTATTAATTTCTATGCTGGATAGGGTAAAAAAGGGTGGAGCTTTCTGATAGGGTTGTTGGATGACGAATTGGCAAAGATCTCTTGTTGTTTTTCTAAAAGGGTTTCTGGGATTTTGCGGTGGAGAAGAGAAGGAAGCATGTGAGTGAGTGGGACTGTGATTGCAGAGAGCAGAGCAGAATTATGATTGGTCGCTGTTCTAGCAATTATCGTATGGGAACAATTTTCTTTTTTCTTTTTCTTGTGGTGATGATGGTGGTGGCCTGGTGGGGTTAATTGCCGTTTCGGTCACTACTTTTATATTCATTGTTCATTTGCCTCACCAAATTCTTCTGCTTGCAACCATTGGTTTCTAGAAGGTGAATGGTGAAGTACACTTTATTAGTTTAGCTTCCCAAATACTTATGCAACTTTCTTATTTAGTTAGTTTAGTAATCAGTTAATATACTCACTGATTTTCATATTACATTTTGAAGCATGAATGGCAAATTATGCGAGTCCTGTCATTCATTCATACGAGGCAAACTATGTACGAGTTCTTACAAATCAATCTACAATATACATGAGTTCTCTTTTAACGCATGAATTCTACGTTACATGCTTACCACGCAACCCCTTAAGGTTATGAACTTAAAATGTTTATTTGCTCAAGTCTCGGAGTTGCTAAGAAGATGTGGTTGGTCATGACGGTGTTCAGCATGGCTAGCCGTGTTGTCTGATCGATATTATTTTTGCCGCTATTGCAGGAAGGTTTACGAGGAAGGCTGACTAAATTGCTCGATCTTTTTATATGAATGTGCCCCGTAACTTAACCTAGATCATTCATCAAACAACATCAACGTGATTTGGAAATCGAGTTTAATTTCTTTGTTTTTGTTTTTTTTGTTTATCGATGTTCGAATTGCAAGGATAACGTAGATCATCTAAAATCTTCGTACTTCTAAACTATTCGATAGGTGCTAACTCACTTGTACGATAGTGGTCAAGCACAAACGTACCATTAGCAAAATCAAAATTAACTCTTCACTTGAACTTGAACTTTCAAATGACCTAAACACTTAGTCTATAGTAACTATTTATTTTAAGTGTGAAAAGAATAATGTGAAAGAAATTAATAAGCGATAGTGATGGCCTATGAATAATCAAAATGTCTAACTCATCGCATGGTTCCTTAATTTAACCATTGTTTCTAGATGTATTTGTTATATAAATTTATTTAATTAGCCTAATCACTGCACCCATGTGTTTAAAGTTAAAATAATGGGTGCTAAATATCAACCTTTATCCTTCATTGATTCCATTTTACTCTACTTTCCACACACTTCTTTATGTTTATTTTAATAAAATACTTGGGCTGTCACCAACCATCTCAATAATAGCTTTGATGAGAATCTCATCCAAGGCTAATCAAACATGTTTAAGTGCAATCAACAATGGCCAGGCTATATAGAAAATTTAAACAATATTATCATGTGTGAATGGTATTAACATAAAGTCGACCTAATCAGCATTCATGTTGTGTTAATCATATTCATAGCAAAATTACCATGTGTATAGCCATCCTAATCATAAATTTTATTGTTTAACATCCCAATTTTATTTGCATCGGTCATATTTCAAAACGAAACTTTAACACGCCAATAATTAAGAAAAATTTTACCTTACAAAATACCGAAATGGTCGATAACAAGACCTATTAACGACGAACTTATCCAACACCGTGCCAAAGCCAAAAACATACAAAACATCAAGTGGGTGGCTCAAAATAAATAAAATAAATGTTGTATGGACCTACTTGTGAAAGTGGTGGATATATTTCAAAATAAAAATAAAAGGAAAAAATGTGCAACACATGTTAAATAAGATAATGGTTGAACGATGAATAGATTGTGGGAAGACTAGACCCCATGCAACGAACGAAAGTCAAATTTGTGAGGGAGGTGGTCGTTATAAAAAGTTATGGATCTATCATATCGTCATTAAAAAGATATTTGACGATCTTCTACCATCTTTTCTAGCTAATATAATCCACCTTGTCGGGCTCTTTTGTAACTGTTTGTTTCTTAACTTACAACTACAAGGGTAGAAGATGGAAGCTTCTATCTATAACCTTCTAGTTCCATCACATTTCGATAAGAAACTGGAACCACTTGACTCGTTCGATGTCGTCGGGTTAATTGAACGATTTGAAGGGGACGACAACGCCGGAGAGAAGAGATTAGTTTGCCATTTTTTTATATTTTGTTTTAATTTTTGACGTGGACGCTGATGTGGATGCTTACGTGGAGATTCGTTAGTAAACAATTAACGGTAACAAAATGAATGCACAAACTTTGATCAATTACAATACGTTTGGTTAATAAATAGTATTCCAATATATTTGAATAAAATAAAAGAATCTGGAAAAAGGTTTGGGTAACACACAAGTGTATTAATCAGTCTAAGACAAAAAAAAAAAACCGTTTTCATCATATTTGATAAGAGTACATATACTATAAAAGGGTTGGAAGGCTTGTGAAAACAACGAGACTATGTGACTTCTGATTGTCAAGTCATAGCAACAATTTCATTTCGTTTGAAGCGGACGTTCTATTCATTGAGCGGAAAGACCCACTAAATAAGAAATGATATGAAGTAGTTGGATTCAATTGGGATGGTGAATGCCCTAGGCTTGAGTTTTGATGATGTAATTCACTAGGAGGCTGGTGGTCTTTTGACTATTTTGAAGGGGTTGTTTGTTCTACAATTGACACACGTTTGGTGGCCGAAGGTTGGGCTTATAACAGTTGAGAATCGGGGTTTATGGGCCTTAGGTGCAATGACTTGCCCACGAATCCAATTTGGATCGTACTGACTGACGAATCATTCTCTATATTTGTAACTCGGCCCAAGGGACGACTTACCATGAGTCTTTGTTTGGCAAATCCTCAATCGGGCCCTCCCTACCACAGAGGTTTTAATTGAGAAAAAGGTCCCTGTCCATCCTTGTTGTCCGGTTTGTTGGGCTAGTTCTGAGACTATGGAGCATTTATTTTTAGACTGCCCGGTTGCGCGGGCACTTTGGGATTATGCGGGGTTGGAGTACTTGGGAGAGGGGTTGCCTCGGCATACCTTTCCATTATTTCTGAAGAAGTTGCTGGCCTTGATTAATCAGCCCACGCTATTCATGGCTGTGGTGGCTGTTCTCTGGAGCATCTGCGATCGCGTAATTGGGTGGTCTTCGAGGGTAAGCAGTTCGGGTTCCCTGCGTTGATGCGTCAGTTTCACCAGTAGTATGAGGAATGGATGACTTTGCCGCCTGGTGGTCCTATGCACGTTAGCCACCCTATGGGGTCGCACAATTTGGCTCCGGTGGAGCCTAATAGGATTGTGTGCATGTGGGATGGCGCCACTAAGAGTGGGTGCCATTCGGCGAGTGAGATTGTTCTCTTTACTCCTTTGAGGGAGGTCTTCCTTGTTAAAGGGTTCCAAATTCCGGTGATTGATGACCCTATGGTGGTGGAGTTGCTCGTGCTTAGGATGGCGATTCTGTGGTGTCTAGAGCTTGGATTTACGAACGTCACTTTTGAGGGGGATGCCAAGGTAGTCATTGATCAAATCAATCATGCAGATGTCAGAGATAACCGGGCAGGGGCTGTGCTTGAAGAGGTTGTGAAGTTTTTTAGTGCCCATTCAGAGTTTGTTGTTCGATTTGTAGGTCGGCGTAGCAATAGGGTAGCCCATTTGGTGGCTAGAAAGGCCCTTTCTTTGTCCCCGTCTATGAATCGTGTATTTGATTTTCAGACCTGGCTGAATTCCAGGGTGTAACTATATTTTTGATTGATTCAATATATATCTATCTTTTGTAAAAAAAAAAAAGACTTACCATGAGCCATCAAGTACAATAATCAGAGATCAAGCTTCTTTATAATTAGAAGTCTCACCAAAGCTTGATGGGCTTGTATCATTAAGTTGAAGAATTACTATCTCTAATACTACGTAGGAAAATGATGCAACGACGTGTTAATTGATCGATAAATTAAATCGGTAGATTGGATTGAGAATTACTATCTCTAATACTACGTAGGAAAATGATGCAACGAGT